ACCATTAAGTCAGAGAAGGCATAGAAGAAGTCAGAAAGATGTCCGCTGTGAGGAGGTCTATATACTACAGCTAGTAAGACCTTGGAGTGAGTCGCTGTAGATATTTCAGCTATCAAGTATTCGGGCTTTTTAGAGTAGACCTCGTCAGATTCCCTCAAGATTCTCGCCCGACAGGAGGAAGAGAGATAAAAGGCGACACCTCCACCCCTCTTATCATTTCTATCACGTCTGAAAAGATGATATCCAGGAAGAGAAACAAGTTGATCAGAGATGGCAGGTTTCAGCCAAGTCTCAGAAAGACATATAATATCATAATCAGAATCAATGAAATAATGCTTGAATTCGTCCAAGTGTGCCAAAAGAGACTGGCAGTTAACATGGCAGGCCTTCAGAGACTTAAATGTTCTATCCATAATTAATATTCTGATTTGTACTTATTAATGTTGTTCGTAGTCAATATCTTTTATCTTATCTTGTAGTCTCTTCATTAATATAGGACAATTCTTGCCGTCGAGCGCAGAGTGTGTGGATTCACTATGTAGCCATCTTTTACAGTTTCCGCAGGTGGCTGCCTTCCCTCTCGCAGAACAATTCCTCATCTCGTGATCGCCAGCGCAATGACCACACAGAGAAGGGCTCTTACAATTCTTGGCGAGATGTCCAAAAGCGAGACAGTTGTAACACTGAAGTACTCGCACGTAATCCTCAAAAGCACACGAAGAGAAATTGATATAGATATGATGTCCCTGCCGCAACAGGGCACGTGTACTCGAAGATACCTCAATAATGCAGCTGGTTGTAACACGATTGGCTCTAGGAGGAAAGATGTAGATAACCTTAATATCAGAAGCGTCATGCGCATTTAGGTTCAAGTCAACAATGTCAGATCTGATATCCTCTTTAGTAAGACCAACGGGTATTCCGTGAACGATGAGTCTAGGATTGGACTTAGAAATCCGTTCGACTTTGAGACCAGCATTGGCAAGTTCAGTAGAATCCTTAAACTTCGACAAGTCGACCGCCGCAGCCTCTATGCGGACACCATTGTTTCGCGCAGACGTAATTTTGTTGACTTTCAAATTAAAGTTAGCCGGCTTGATGATCTTTTTGAGAGCTTCCTTTGTCTCGCTAGAAGTGGCATATTTATGTCCAAGATCATTGTTCGGGACAATAAGAATATCTGTGGATTTTGTAACAGCAACGGTAGGACCACGGGAGACACAGACGGTAGAATTAGAAGATTTTACCGCCGAGGCATAAGAGAAAGCGGGAGCTGACCCCTCCTCGGCCATGAGACCAGCAGATCGGTGCAAAAGAGTATCCGCACGCACCTTTGAAATAGCGTCGGTGATCATTTCTTTAACAGATTCTACCGTGACAGTAGGAGCATTATTATCTTTNTCTAACAATGCCAGATAAGCCGCAGAGAGTTCAGAGAAAGCCTCGCGACAGGCCCTAAAGGCGGATTCAATATGCGTCTTCCTTTCAAGAGAATCTTTGCTCGAAAGAAGTAACTTAGAAACGGTATCGGAGTGCTCAGTAATAGATCGCTTAAATGCATAAACTTTAGATGCGCTCATGTAAATACCGCAGGAATTGTTGGTCAACAAAGATGCAGAAGACCGTTGCCTAGTGAGACCGCCGCATTGTTTACCGTTGTCGCCGCGGTTTGAATCCGGAGAACCGTCATTCGCAGATGAAGAGGGGAGAGTACCTCGCCCTGTCATCTCGGCGGCCGTGATTGGAAAGCCCACCTCCAATGTACCCGCACGCAGTGGGAGGGATAAGATGACTGTTCAGTTGATCCGTTGGTAAAATCCGTTGGAAAAATCCGACGAAAGAAAACGCAACAAGCTGCACCAGGAAACTTCAGAAGACGCCGAAAACGTTATCAACAATCGAGAAAGAGGCCTCGATCACAATCTGAAAAAGTCAGGCCCCAGCAGGGGCAGAAAGCGGCAGAAATAAGATCGAAAAGACAGAGCTAAATATGACACGTCTGTATATACTCACAACTCAAAAGTATCTAGAGAGAGAGAGAGAGAGAGAGAGAGAGAGAGAGAGAGAGAGAGAGAGAGAGAGAGGAAGAGAGAAAGAGAGCGAGTATTTTTGCGTCGAGTCATTTTTCTCTCATTTATTCATTATCGAAAATCGCAACCTATCTATCTCCTTTCCGTCCTCTTGTCTGAGCCATCACGCCCAGAGATTTTCCCGGTAAGAAACCTCAGGCTCTCCCCGAGGTTGGCTGGCTCGACAAATCAAAGACGACGGTGTTTTATCGTCCCGAGAGCTTTCTTATTCGTCGTTCGTGTTTTTTTTTCTGACATCATCGTTCGATAATTTCCGCGTAAGAAACGAATCTAGCTGTTCCACGCCGGATGCAGTTCCGCCCCCTTCCTCCTCCCCCTCCCCCCAGACCGGAGGCTCATTGTTCGAAACAAAGAAAAGAATAATGGCGCCCCGCGACTTTTCCGGGCGTTACTTTTACTCGTTCAAGCGTCGCCCGCCGATTCGGCTCGGCGGCGGATAAAAGTGAAAAACGTAAAGGACACGTGTATACATGCTTTTACCGCGCGAGTGACGATTTTTCTTTCTGTTTTTTCGCGCACAACTCGCACGTCCGTCTTGCGAATTAGCAAAAAATCAAAAAACCGAAGCACGTTAGCGGCTTATCCGCAAATACATCATATCTCCGCGTTCGCGAAGCACACGTCGATAATAAAATCGGCGAGTAATTATCGGACGAATTAACACGACGAACGAAACCGCGAAAAGAGACGCGGAAAGTATATTATTTATTGGGAAACGGACTTTTTCTCCTCTCCCCTTTCTCTATCAGGAAGTGACTTCCTTTTAATTTATTTATCGAGAAACGTATCCCGAATCGCTTCGACGGACAAGACAGAATGATTCATCGTCGTTCGATACATTCGGCGTGAAAAAATAAAGCAGCTTCCGACGAAACGCAGTCGCGCTATTCGTCGGCTGTCACCGACCGTCATGGGAGATGCGAATTGATCGGCGCGCCGATTCGTTTCAGCGCTCGTTACGGATATGATTCATCGGGATTAAAAATTGGCGGCGCCGTCTATCGCGAGGAAGTCGGCCGTTTCCTTTAGATTCCCCCGCGCGCGCGCGAACGCAGTGAGTCATTCGTTTGCGGTTTCAAACGCATTCACCATGGCTCCGCCATTTCGTCGTATCCGACGCAATATGCATGCATGTATGCATGCATGCATGCATGCACGTTGATACGCACGTTGAAGGCGTTTTCTCTCTCTTGAAGCTGCGTTAAAGGACGTACTTGGCTATTTGTGTCTAATAACGTCTTCAAAACTGAATAATTCAAAGGCGCGAGGATTTGAAAATTTCGCGAGATCCGGACGGATCGAAAATTAAGGAAAATCGGAGACGCGGAAAGCGCGAGGATTTAAAGATCTAAGGTGGGATTCCAAGTTTCAAAGCTCAACAAATTTACGGCGCGCGCACACAAACGCACACGCGCGCGCGCACGCACACAAAAGATTCTAATAAATTAGAAATTCCAACCTCGTCGCAATCTAAATCTTTCTCTTTGTTCGATGCATAGCTCGAGTGAGCTTCATTTACATCGCAATTATCATTTTCTCTCGCGGCAACAAGCAGCTCGACGCTGCAACGTCGTTGACGTCGTTTATCTGGATCTCGAATGGGGAAGCTATCTCTCTCTCTCTCTCTCTTTACCGGAGATCTCGGAGAGCGCGCATAGAAGGAGGAAAATTTATTAGCTATTACAGGAAGGCCCGGAGCGGAGAGGTGATCGATCGTCTCGGGATGCTTGACGACCTTGGAGATCCGGCGCGATGGATTGATGAATGTACCGATGGATGTGCGCGTATACACGCGGTTCTTGTTCTCCATACTCGCGTAACCCTCGGACTCGTGTTTGCAGAAATTTACGAGTGACCGGCCGGAAACGGAAACGGAATATTTGAACGTAACGTGTAATCGTGTTCGCGGCGAAGTTCGTGAAAACGGTTGACGGGGCAAATATGTAACGTGGAACAATATTTGTCCGAGGACTTTGATGTCAAATTGAACGGAGCGGCACTTTTTTAATTCAAACACACACGTGACGCGAGAAAAAAACTTGAAGCAACAAAGAGCGAAAAAGTAATTTCGTTCTTTCGCGAATTAATTTGTACAGACACACACACACGCGCACATCCTAGCACACACATGTGAGAGTTCGATTCAAAGTTAGCGCGTGACGTCGTGGCGTCGTCGTTGTCACATTTAATTTCGTCTCCCCCCGCACTGATTTCATCACTTTCGAGCAATTATGTAACTCTTCTTCTCTCCCGTCCCGTAATCGCTACGAACGCGCGCATTTTATCTTCAATATTATTACACGTAATTCAATTTTCGTCATTATCACTTCACAGAGAATTGATCAGACACAACGGCACCTGCTGCTCCTCGGGTTTCCCCTCCGCTTTTTATTCTTTCCCGCGCTCGAGTCGCGCTCGTTCAACGTCGTCGTCTCGTAACTTCATAATCGATATTTCAATTAGCGCGTAGGGAGAACACTCTGGGGAGGGAGGGGACGGGAGGACGCGAGACGGACATCGGCACTAAAAGGAAGTAACGAGCCTAGGTGCGAGAGAAGTGGAAGGTTGTAAATGCGCACGATGCGCAATTCCCCTTTCTCCCAGACACGAGGGGGATGGGGTCTTTATATCTACGTTAGTCCGGAGATCGGGAGCGCTGCCGTGGCTGTGCCTCACGGGCAAGGTATATTCCTGTACCTACTTTAGCCGATCTCTCCGCGTAATTAATGTCCTCGCTTGTCAGAGGCTAATGACGTTTAACACGTGTCTGATGGGAGTAAATGTCGATCAGTTCGATATACGTTGACGTAATAAGCATGACGCGCCTATTGGCGATAGTACCGCTGCACACTGGATTAATTAAACCCGGATGAAGAAGCCGCGTCGTTACGAGGCGCCGATTCGAAATGTAACACGCGGCCTGTCCTCATTAATATGATCAATCATCACGTTAATCAACTCCCCGTAATCGTTTATTCGCTTCTTTTTTTTTTTTTTATTTCGCGAAACTGTTCGCGCACAGTAAAACTCGATCAGCCTCCAACCGAACGGTTTTTCTTTCGTATTATATGTTTACCGATCCCGCTAATGAAAGACGGAAAAAATATGTTGAAAGCGGAGAATTAATGAAGGGGTAATTTCGCGAATTAAAATACGCACGATTGTTTTCTTGCGGAAGAGCGCAAGAGCGCGTTATTATTCTTTACGATTCTCCCGACTGCGCCCGAAGTAAACGAAGGAGGAAGAGAGAAAATTCGCAGAGATTCTCCGGATCGGGTTTTCGACGCGGAGCGGACGAACGATCGCGTCTTTAAGACGCAATATATATGTGTAGTTTCTCTTCGGAGAAGAGACGAGAACCATCTTGCTTACGCGAGTCGGAGTCTGCTCGAACCCCATAAATCTCCCTCCCGGACAGACGCGCGCGCTCTCCGGTCTACGGACGGGCGATCGATAAATCATGGTCGGCCTCTCGAAAACTAGACGGGCCGACGGGATGTATCGATGAGCTATCGCGTCACGTTCCCGAGTAATGCCCTTTGGCGTTGCGCACATCCGGGGTTAATGAAGGCACGTACGTAACGTACGTACATACGCCGGGGCCCGGGCGTTTGTGCATCGCCGACCTTATGCGTTGCTCCGTCACAGGGCGTGTTTAATTCGTCCAATCGCGTCGGCCGCGCGATTATAAGCATAGCTAAATCGCGGCTGAATCATCTCATCGTTGCCGTTTGCCCACACGAAGTCGGCGCTGAATCATCGCGCGATCGCGGGTCAAAAAGGACCCGGGGACCTTGTGACAGCGCGCGTGCGATCAATTAGCGTTCGTTCAATGAGCGACATTTCTCGCGAACAGAAATCGCAATCGAGCCACTGATCTCTCGACGAACGTCGCGATCGTCTTTCAACGGATTCTACCGAGCTGCTAATTAGCAATTCGCAGCGCTGCGCAAACTTCGAGATTTTCTTTTTCTTTTTTTTTTTTTTTTTCAAATGTCTGTTTTTTTTTCTCTCTCTCTCAATTTCTCTTTCAATTAGCATACAATTAGCATAACGTTTCGGTAAGACTTTCTTGTCTCAGAAAATATTCGTTTCATCGAACGCGCTTGTGTGTCATCGGCGTTCGAGAATAATTTACGTTATTCCCGTGCGCGCGAAAGACAATCGCAAGCGCAAGTCTATATCCGCGCGGAGCTAATTTTGCAAAAGCCTCGCAGGCACGCGCGGCGTTATTAACATTTGCCTGACAGAGAACCCTTGCGCGAATCCTTTATTCCGCGAGACACTCGTCGTTCACCCCCGTGACGACGACGATACCCGAGAGGAGGATCATGCAGGCGCGCAATCTCCAGTCGGCCGAGTCAAGTCCGGGAGAAAAGGGCGGGAAGAGAAAGAGAGAGAGAGAGAGAGAGAGACAGCGGAAAGAGACCGGAGGAGGGTAAAACGCGCGGAGCTTTTGTGCTCCCTTTGAGTTAACAATTATCCGAGCATGAAGGGAGGGCGCCCCATGCCAAAAAGACGGCTTTTCCCCGAGAGACAGAGTCGCGTGTCTCTCTGTGTCTCGGCCCGCAAGGAACAAGAGTGGACCCCGGTTGAATAGACGGCGATAGGAAAGCACTCGGAGCAAAGAGAGACAG